AACAATTTACTTTAAATTTTACATATGGGCTAGGGGCAGGGCTGGGCTATAGCCCAACCTAGCCCCCCATTATCTCCGCCCTTGGTAAAAGAAAAAGCTTTTTGTTATTGGATCTGTAATTTTTCCTTCATTTCACATAATCAATGGAAATAATAAAATTTAAGATCAACTGTTTTACGATATTGTGTCTATGATATATATGTCTACATTTACCATTATACATACTATTTTGAGCCTTTCCAATAGTTGATTAACTGTTACAATGTATACCAATCGCATGTACAGACTTGGGCCAACATACAATTTAAGTATGAGATGCCAAATATATACAAGTTTGAATAAGAGAATAATCATCACATTTATAGTAAAATAAGAATCAAAACATGAGTGATGAAATGACAAAAGTATAATCATTTGGATAAAATTTATATAAGTTCCAACCAATTATGCACATAGAATCATACGAGAACATTTAGTATGAATTCAATTTAGCCACCTACTTCAAATTCATCGATAATTCTCAAACCTCTTTGAATATATGAAAAATCTATCAAGTGTTAGATGTTTAGTGAGAATATTGGCCAATTGATTTTCCTTATTCACAAATTCTAATACAATATCCCACTTTTGAGTGTCTTTAGAATACCATAGACATGATGTCTTAATGTCATTAGGATATCAAAAATTCGTTTTATGGCACTAAAGTGTGATTCTTGAGTATTTGATTAAAATATAGCACATAATCACATACTAAACATCATACCGAGTTTACTTGCGATTAAATAAAGGAGAGATACGATTATACCTCAATATTTTGTTATATTTGGGGAAGTACCTTGATCATCTAGTTTGATTGATGAACTCATTAGAGTGTTCTTTGATTTTAACTCTTCCATTTCAAACTTATTGAGCATGTTCATGATTTACTTTGTTTGACTCCTTTAGTTTGGAAGAATTTGATCATTTTATACTTCAAAAGATTCTTCTTCATCTAGTTTCACATTTGCTTCTTCCTCATGTTGATCTTCAACATCTTCAGGATCTTCCTTGTTTTGATTTTATTTGCTCAAAAAAAATCTCCAAACCTAAATCATTATCAATACCTTTCTCTTGATCAAGAAGATTAGTTTCATCAAAAGTAACATGCATGGGTTCTTTAACAACTAGAGTTATCTTGATAAATAATCTATTAGAAAGATTCTAAAATCGGATTTTGAATCGAATTTTCGCAAATTTTCTTTTGTGCTTAAAATAAAGCATTTACAACCAAAAACTTTGAAATAGCCGATATTTGGAATTCTCTTTTTCCAAAACTCATAGTGGATTTTAGTTTACTTTTGACTAACTAAAACTCTATTTAGAATATAGCAAGCGGTGTGACGGCTTCGACCCAAAAATATTTTGTCATACTATTTTCATGTAGCATGATCCTAACCATTTATTATAATGTGCGATTCTTCCTTTCTACTACATCATTTGAGAAGTTTTAGTAGCTGAGAAATTATGATCATAACCATAATTTTTTGCAAAAATCATTAAATGCAATATTTTTAAATTCTCCACCATGATCACTTCTAATAGTAGTAATAGTGTATCCTTTTTTATTTTGAAAATTTTTACAAAAATGTTCAAATGCATTCAAAAATTCATCTTTTATGTTAAAAAATGGGACTCAAATAAATCGAGAAAAGTCATCAATAATGACGAAAGTATAATGTTTACCATTTAAGCTTGTGATTCTAGATAGTCCAAAAATATTCATATAGAGAAGTTAAAAAGATTTTGTAGTTAAAGAATGTTACTTTAATTTGAAAGAACGCTTTACTTGTTTTCCATGCATCACAAATTTTGTCTTTCTCAAATTTCAAATTTGTCAAACATTTAACAAAACAATTTTTATAAATTTTGAAAGTAGGTCTATGCCAACATGACCTAATTTTCTATGCCATAACCAAGTATTATATTTTCAATGTGATAAATATTTTTCTCCGCATTCATATTTAGTGTTTATGACATAAATATCATTACTTCGGCTTCCTAGAAACATCACATTCTTTTGATGTAATATCCTCAATAAAGCACTTGCAAGAATCAAATTTGATATGATAACATTTATCACACAATTGACTAAAGCTAAATTAAGGTTATCTACTAAGGGAACGTTATCAATAAAGTGAGATGAATAATTACCAATAATTTCAATGTCAATGATTTTTCTTTTAGCATTATCTCCAAAAGTATTGTAATGACTTGTTACTAGCATTGCCACGTGGCCGACCTAGTGAAGTTGTAGACCCACTCCTACAGAACAATCAACCATAGAAGACGAGGCGCACGTGATAATGTCCGAGGCACGTTACTAATCTGAGGTGGACAAGCCGAAGCGTCCTAGATCCAAGGCTCTACCCAACTAGTGACAGCTCACGTGCAGAGATCTTGAATTTATTATAGAAATCTTATTTGAATGATTGATGTGACTTTTGTAAAAAGTGTATTGGTGTCTTGTCTTGTCTTGTCAATAGGATGTAAGATCATTAAATGCTTTGTAAAGTTAGGAAAATAAACATGATGGTTAGGATTTCATGTTTCAGCCGAGGAGATGAGGCCACGTGAAATTTTATCTAAAAGTAACCATTCCGTTTGTAACACTATAAATACCCCAACCATGTAACAACTGAAGGCTAATGCAACTTTAGATACTTATAGCAATTTGTTTTATTCGAATAAAAGAATTTAGAAATTAGAATCTTAAGAATCCAATCTTTCACTTCTGCTAACGAAACCTTTTATACCCTCTCTTGTTTCTTAAATATAAAAAACTCTTAACTTCTATCCTTATTTTTTAAACCGACAATTTTTATCTTAAAATCAGGGAATGTATGCAACTTATCTACAATCTTGGCCCGCGCAACGGTTTTTTAGGATAAAATCTAGTCATTTCTGAAGAGAGCAGGAACGTGGAGAATGGATAAATAAATGGCAGAAGCAATAGAATTTACTTGAAGGTCTTAAGTTTCCAGATAGAATGATGAAAATTTCATTCTGAGGAAGTGGTAGAATTGTGGGTTATATGTACATGGGTGCTGCCCTTCGCTTAAATAAATAGGATAGTGGTCGGCATGGATTACAAAGTATATATGTGCCGTGTTGTCAAAATTTCAAAATTACCTCATCTTTATTTTCTACAGACTAGAATAATTATTCTTTATCGTTAGCTTAAAACCACTCAATCAAGAATAGTATAGCATTCATGTAAATAGGCCATCCTTCTCAAAGTGATTGATGTTATTTATTTTGTAATTTTCCATGGGGGTGGGGTGAAGGTCGAAAGACCAAATCATAAAAAAAATGATGTTATGCGGCTATGCAAGATTCTATTCCTTTTTAGTTCAAGTGATTATAGAGTGTTATTCCCCTATCCTTTGAAATGTTATGCACTTTGTCCTCTTGAGTTAGAAAGCTTAATCATTGTAAAACAGGATACTAATAAGTATTTCCTAGGCTGTGCTCTCAATTGGAGAACCCTTTGTTGTAGAACTTACTTTTGGAAAAAAAAAATGGAAGATT